CATATACACTATAATCATCTCCCACTGAAGTAGGTTTCGCCTGACCAATTCTGGCATAATAATCCTTGGCAGACTCAATTTCATAAAGTGCATACGGGTCTCTCAACACCTTTGTATTGGCATCAAAATAATCTACCCTCATACCCAATCTGAAAATGATGTCTTTATAAGAAAACTTATCCTGGATAAAAAAAGCACCATAAATAGGCTGTTGGGGTGCCACTACAAAAGTGCGTATACTATCTTTATCTCGACTACTGAAAAAATCTTCGAACTTAACATCTGCCCCAAGTTTATTGCCCAGATAGTCATAACCACTGTAGCTGATCAAACCTTGTCTGTTGATCAGTTCAGCAGCAGAAAACATATCCAATCTGAGTTGGCTTGGGTCTATGTCCCATACATTGACATAATCATTATTGCCTTTTTTGACGAGTTCCCGCACATTTTTATAAAACTTATTGTCTCTTTCTATATTGAGATTTGTTTGATATATCGCCACTCTATCAAGTCCTATGCCAGGGATATTCACTATTGTGTCTCTGAGTCTTTTTGTCGTATCTACACCATTGATATGTCCGTTGGCTTGGATTTCTGCAAGGTTCCAAAGGTCAAATGGTGCAACTCTCCAATCTCTATTAATGCTCTGCTCATAAATGAGTCCAAACTGAATATTGTGCCTACCTTTGTCAGAGCCGCCAGGGAACAGGTCAAATCCTGCAGTAAGGTTAAGACTGTACAAATCGTTTTCTTCTTTGCGAAAAGAATTAAATACTTGCCCCACATTTGCATAAAGATTATTCCAGGCTGTATTGATATTCTGGTTCAACAGCCCGTTGACATTGACACCTGCAATAGCATTATAAGAACCGAGGATGGGATTGATGTCAGGATGGAGGGCGAATTCGCCTATGTCTTCTCTAAAACCTAGATGTCCAAAAAAATTGCCTTGTGCAATTCTTGGATCTGAAGGATCAAAAAAACCAAAGACAGGTTGCCATGATCTGCCTGTTCTGCCAAAGTACCCATAATTAAACAATCTGTCTTCATGTCTGACATCTTCTCTATTCAATTTTGATTTTTGGTATCCCAAAGTAACGGTATAGGATGCATTTCTGAATGCTCCTGATGCTTTATCAGCTCCTTCGCCAGTACTTTGTTTGCCCACTTTATGAGTTAATCTAAAATTGCCCCTGAAAGTATTTTCCTTCTGATAAGGGTTGTTTACCCAGTTGAGTAAACTCCACGTTTCACCAGACCCTCTGACCCCTGAAGATCCAGGTGTAAACCTATCTTTGCTGTCATTGTAGTTTCCTGACAACTGTATATCTATATTTTTTGCCAGCCTTATGTCCAATCTGCCAGTAAGGTCTATATCCCTATCTGTTTCATTTGGTCTCGCCTTGAACACTGATCCCAATTCGGCAGTTCTTACTAATTCTAATGACGGAAATTGTGTACCTCCGATACTATATACTGGATTTTTTTCAAGCTGTCTGATCAAGTCTTCAGGTGCACGTCGAAAACCAATGGCAGATGGGTTGGTTTCATCCACACTTCTGTACTGACCTGAAAACCGGTACCCTAAAATGGATTGTTTTTTACTATTTTTAAGTATCGGCCCAGATACATTACCGCTCAATAGGTTGTACCCGTAGCCATCAAATGACTTCTCCATCTCAAGAGATCCAGTCACTGTGCTGGAAGGGCCTCTTGATGTCAGTGAAATAACGCCGCCTGTCACATCTCCGTACCTAGCCTCAATACCTCCTATCACTACTTGTAATTGTTCAATTTCGGACTGAGGGATCAGGTTGCCTGTGACTCTCACTCCATCCAAAAAATAGACTGTTTCATTGGAGCGTGAACCTCTTATCGATATGTCTCCGCCATCCCGGGAAGAAAGACCAGCAGATGTTGCTGCTATTGCATTTATCTGCTTGGTCGGTAGTGCCCTGATTTTTTCAGCAGTGACTGTGGTACCCTGTGTTGTATTATCTATTTCTATCAGTGGTATTTTGTACACTTTGATCTCAATACCCAGGTCAAGTATATTGGCATCATCAGTAAGTACAAAATTGACTCTGTTGGTACGCCCTGCTTTTATAATGATACCAGTCTGCCTTTGAGTAGTATAACCCACATAGCTTGCCTCCATATCATAAGTGCCCGGTTGAACATCAGATAAGAAGTAGTTTCCATCTGCATCTGTTTCAGTACCTGTGATCAATACTCCACCCCTATACAGAGCTATAGTTCCGTATATGATGGACTCATTATTTTTTGCATCCGTGACTTTTCCTTCTAAGGTTGTCTGAGCAATCATATTGCCAAAAAAGCAAAAAAGACACCCAAGTATCACTATCAATCTGTTCATAAAGACCTTCTTTATGTTGTTATAAATAAAATGCAATATTAGACAATTTTTACAGCTTTTTAAAAGCAAAAATTGTTAAAAGTGAAATTATATCCTTTTTTTATTTTTTGATCAATCATTTTTAGGCAAATAATTCATCCAAATCAGGAAAGACAGATTTCGAATACCAAAAGAAGTTCATATTTTGTATCATGATTGTATCACAATATTTCGATATCAAAATTAAGCTGCTACTTTAAACCCTACTGCCTAATCCAACGATTTGTAAATCATTTTTCACAATGGTATATCTTGCAGATAAATCAACTGTTAAGAGTTTGTTTAACTGAGGATCGGGTAATAAAAATAGCACACATAAAAACAGGCGATACCAGTAAACTGATATCACCTGTGTAAAATATTTCAGAAAAATACGTTTAGACTTTTGCTGTCCTTGGTGTTTCTACAGCGGCCTGGGCTGCTGCAAGCCTTGCGATAGGTACTCTGAATGGTGAGCAACTTACATAATCCATACCGATTCTGTGGCAGAATTTGACACTCTCAGGGTCTCCTCCATGTTCGCCGCAAATACCTACTTCAAGGTTTGGTCGGGTCTTTCTTCCTCTTTCTATACCGATTTTGATCAATTCCCCTACACCTTGCTGGTCTATGGTTACAAAAGGATCATCTCTCAGTATTTTTTTGTCAAGATAAGTTGGTAAAAATCCTCCTATATCATCACGGCTGAAACCAAAACTCATTTGAGTAAGGTCATTGGTTCCAAAACTGAAAAATTCAGCTTCTTCTGCCATATGGTCAGCTTTAAGTGCCGCTCTCGGTATCTCAATCATGGTTCCGTAAGCATACTCAATCTTATCCACTCCCTTTTTAAGGCATACTTCATCATATACTCTTTCGACGATCCTTTTCTGATCTTTCAGTTCGTTTACAGTACAGGTAACTGGCACCATGATTTCAGGAAATGCCTTTTTACCATTTTGAATCAGTTCTACAGCAGCTTCAAAGATAGCTCTGATTTGCATTTCAGTGATCTCCGGGTAACTTACACCCAATCTTACGCCTCTGTGACCAAGCATAGGATTATTTTCGTGAAGACCAATCCCGTAGTACCATTCAGACTGATCCAGTCACCTTCGTGTATGACTTTTCCACTTTTGGTTCTGAACAAGGTATGTTCAGAATTGAAATCTATTTCATTACATCCCACGATGCAGCATTTGCCCCATCCTCTTGCTACCAATGCGGCATGCGATGTCATACCACCTTTACTAGTGAGAATAGCCTTGGACGCGTGCATTCCATCTACATCTTCAGGAGATGTTTCGTCACGTACTAGTATCACAGGTATTTTTTTCTCGGCCCATTCTACTGCTTTTTCAGAATCAAAAACTACCCGGCCTTTTGCGCCTCCAGGGCCGGCAGGCAATCCTTTTGCTATCGGCGGTATACTTCTTTCAGATACCGGATCCAGTCTTGGCAGTAACAATTCTACCAACTGATTTGGTCCCACACGCATGATAGCCGTATTTTTGTCGATGAGTTTTTCTCTATACATGTCCATAGCCATTTTGACAGCAGCGATACCATTGCGCTTTCCTACGCGACATTGTAGCATATAAAGTGTACCATTCTCAATGGTGAACTCAATATCCTGCATATCTCTGTAATGGTTTTCAAGTTTTTTCTGAAATCCATCCAGTTCCTTATACATTTTTGGCATTAACTCTTCCAGCGTATCAAGGTCCCTGCTTTGATCATTTTTGGAAAAATCATTTATCGGAGACGGTGTCCTGATACCTGCCACGACGTCTTCGCCTTGTGCATTGATCAAAAATTCTCCGTAAAAATGATCATCACCTGTGCCTGGATTTCTGGTAAAGGCAACTCCGGTAGCACAATTGCTACCCATATTTCCAAATACCATAGCCTGCACATTGACAGCTGTACCCCATTCATCAGGAATTTTTTCGATACGTCGGTATTCCACTGCTCTTTTTCCTTGCCAACTACCAAATACTGCACCGATTCCACCCCATAACTGATCAATAGGGTCTTCTGGAAATGCCTGACCCAAAGTTTCTTTCACTTTGCGCTTAAAAACCGAAACCAAATGTTTCAGATCATCAGCAGTCAATTCTGTGTCAATCTGATACCCATGTTTATGTTTTACATCTTCAAGGATGTCTTCCAGGACTCTTCTAATACCTTTTCCACCCTTGGGCTCTATACCGGCTGCTTTTTCCATAACCACATCTGCATACATCATGACGAGCCGTCGATAGGCATCATATGCAAATCTTTCATTTCCTGTCTGCTCTATGAGTCCTTTTATGGTTTCATCATTCAAACCCAGGTTCAGAACGGTATCCATCATACCAGGCATAGATCTTCTGGCACCTGATCTTACTGAAAGCAGTAAAGGATTCTTTTTGTCGCCAAATTTTCTGCCCATGATTTTTTCCATTTTTTTCAGAGCTTCAGCTACTTCACTCTGAAGAGAAGGTGGATAGGTTTTTTCATGTTGGTAATAATAGGTACACACATCTGTAGTGACGGTAAAGCCAGCAGGTACCGGCAAAAGTAAATTGGGATGTCCTGCCATCTCAGCCAGATTGGCACCTTTGCCACCCAGCAGATTTTTCATTGATTCGTTTCCATCAGCCTGGCCGCCACCAAAACTGTAAACATATTTTTCTGAAGACATAATATAAATTTTAAAAAAATAGATAAAAATCAAAAATATAAGTGCAAAGAAATAGTTTTGGGCTGTGATATAAACTGATTTGAGTCATCTCTTGAAATGATGTTCATTAGTATAGCGACAAAATATGGTCACCAACCTTCTACTGTTCCATCCCGCTTTTGGTGCAGGACGAGTAATGGTGCTTAAAAACTGGCATACAGTGAGCCCCATTTTAAAATTTAAACAGAAAAATTATGCTAACTTTATTTTTTTCGCAATTGAACATGATTTAAATCATTGCAGGGATTTATTTTTATTGGTAACT